GCCACCTTGAGAGTACCAGCAGAAAACTCTACAGCAGATGGAAAATTGATTATCGTCTACCTGTCTCTTCTGTTCCCAAAACAACTGATTACAGAATCTGGATCTCCCCGACAACGGCCTTGATCTGTTGACTAAATTCTTCCTGGCTGGATGTGTCGACAAAGGCTCTGCCCCACACCTCCCCCCTCCTCTCATCAGTCTAATTCTGTTTTCCAGGGAAGGCTGAAAGCTGCACAGAAATGAACAGTTTTCCATCAATACTCTGAACTATGGCTGCGCTGGTTTTGGGGACTAGATTCTTCGGGCCCCCTTAAACTCACTTACTCCTCTGGCTAATAATCTTGCTCTATGCAGAGGTTTTTTTCATAAACACCATAGTGTGTCACAGTGTTGATATAATATGATGTTTTTGCTTTTTTCCTCATCTTCCCTTGTGTGTTTTTCAGTTTTTCTTTGTTTCGAAGTTGGCGCCACGGCAGCCTGTTACTGCAAATCCACTGTCTTGAGCTGCTGTAATGTTCAAATTTCCTCACTGTGGGATCAATAAAGTTCTATCTTATCTTATCTTATCTAATCTTATCTTATCTTTCAAACTTGTTTAATCGCCTAAAAAACTACATACATAAGAAAAGCCAGAAAATGCGAACTGTGGATATTACAATGACTACTCAGCCAAGATTCCACAATGCTATCAGTCAATCTGACACTTACATGTGGCAAAGTCAGCTCAGGAAGGCAATAACGCAGGGCATTTCTGTTAAAATGAAGTCGTTAGTTTGACTGATGATTTGTAAAAATAGTTTTAGAGCAAACGGTAACTGACTGTCAAAAACATGCAAGCATCATCTACAGTATTAATCATCCTTTTATTCGTTATTGGCTAAAGGCCACAAATAATTGTAATAAAATTATTTTTGCTAATATTGCCCAACGCTAGGACAAATCCACATAAACAGTTGAATTTACGAAGAAATTAATTTTATCTCGAGCACCGCGCCAACCTGTGTTGGACCTGAACCAAAGATTTGCTGATGTCCAAGTCCCACCCCCATCTGATTTCTGATTGGCTAGCATATGGAGCTAAATTTGGGTCATAGTCAAAGTATTTATTTTTGATTTGATTTGATTATTTATTATTTATTTAGTATTGTAAAGTAAATTCCCACCCACTGTGGCTCAGATCCAGATCAGCCTGGGCCCAGTTCATGGTACATGACACTGATTTTACCCTGCATGCAGCACATAAGACAGTTTGGGTCAAAATGATCAAGTCTCTCCTGGCAAAAAATATAAATTGTAGGAATTACTTAATGAAATCAGGGCCAGCCTATTTTCATAAATGTAATCCAGGATCTTGCAAGAAAT